GAGAGTGGCTACCCTCCTACAACCATTTACACAGTGTGGAGGGCAGCCTATCATCTCCCAAATGGAGGAAGAAATGAGGACAATGTACAAGCCAAGTGCCTGGCTTCTGGGACTGAATGAGACATCAGGAAAAGAAGCTGGCGCTGCTGCCACGGCTGACTTTATATCGCCGTAACCAGGCAAGTAGCTTGCCTGAGTCAAGAAGTCTCATTTAACATTCTAAAGAGTGGGAGGGAGGGAGGCAAGAGCTGTCACACGGTTTTAGCTGCCACCCCTGCCTGCCCTGGCTGTGTGGTATGGGATCCACTGCACAGGAGAAGAGAAGCAGTCCACGTGGAAATTGTTAATAAGCCAGTGGCATGTCTGCACTCACCTTTAAGGAGGTGAGAAGGTCAGAAGCTCTTACTGTAAAGTTAGGAGTGATAGTGATGGCTCCAAATACCATCCCTCCTCATAGCAGCTGCAAGGGGAGCCCTGCACAAGTGTTCCAGGGCTGCTATGACAAAAAGAAGGTGCTATGACAGACGAGGTGATGTAAAAAACAAATATCCACTCTCTTATAGTTCTGGAGGCAAAGAAATCACAAAACAAGGTGTTGACAGGACTGTGCTCCTTTGAGAGTTCCAGGGGAGGATCCCTCCTGCCTCTTTCAGCTTCTGGAGGCTGTTGGCATTCCTTGGCTTACTGCCTCATCACTCAAGTCTCTGCCTAGTCTTCATATGCCTTCTCTATATGTGTCTTCTCTTCTGTCTCTTATAAAGATACCTGTCACAGGATTTAGGGTCCACCCAGGTAACCCAGGAAACTCTCATTTTGTGGTCTTTAACTTAATCACACCAGCAAAAAGGTCCTGTCATAAAATATCTTCTGGAGTCCATAGAACATACCCTCGACTTCATCTCCTTGACTACAATCTGTGCCTACAGAGGTCTGGATTTTAAAGATAAGTAGCCAACTAATGTGGACATCAATCAGGCCAGGCGCTCTGCCTTGTCTGAAGGACAAGAAAAGAAATCTATAGTGGCTACTTTAGCCCTTGACCAGCGCCGGCTTCATGAATGAAGGTTCGAAACATGAGAAACCTCTAGGGAGTTTTGAATTAAAGAGACAAGACCCTAATTACCTTTAAACCAGCTCCAGGGCGGCTCCTCCTAACTCCAGCCTCCAGCCACCTATTGTGGTGCCGAGGTTTGCTAAAGAGGCTAGCGAGAGAGAGAGAGCACGCCAGGGAGTGGATTTTTATTGGGGAACAAAAAATTCTGGGGAAAATCCCATCCAAAAGATTAAGGGGGGCAGCATCCCAAGGTCAGGGGCGACGCTTGGGTCTTCGGGGTAGTGGCCAGACACGCCTCCGCATGGACAAGCCCTCAGACCTGAGAAGGGTGGGGAAAGCTCTAGACACAGGATGTGCCTAAGTGCCTCTCTACCAGCCAGGTGGTAATTCAAATGTGAGGATGGCCTCCCATATGCTACAGTGATGGTCCAAAGCCAGCCCCCAATCATTAGCAACCCCCTCTCTGCATCCACATGCTCAGGGGAGACATTGTGTCAGGTCCCATACAGCAGATGCAGTGTAATACATGGAAGGTAATCAGGATCTTCATGAATCAAAACAATCTGCTTACTGATTTACAATATTATCTCAGATACAAGATGAGAAGACAAATCTGGCCCCAAAAAGTCACCAATAAATAAATAATTAAATCAAAAACACAGTAAGCCCTCAGCTCCCATAAATAGTAACATTCCTTAACACTCAACATTTACTATGCTGGGGCTATATGGTTAGGAATGGGGAGAGTCAGGCAGAGCTCTACACCCCAGTCAGAGGTGACCCTAGGTGCAGGTTGGGACCTAGCTGATGGGAGAGCCATTGCAAGAGGGTTATGATGCTCTACATGACTCCTTTTTCTGTAGACCCTTTACTCCTTTTTCTGTAGACCCTGTTCAGTACAAGAAACCACATGCCCAGGTTGAGAGAAACCTATGATACAGTCAGAAACTGAAGGCCCAAGGGCCCTCTGTTGGGCCACTGGTGCAAGTTCTGTAGTTCAAAGTGAAGCTATGATAGAAATATAATGCTATCCACTGACAGTAACAGCCTTCCCCCAGGAAAGGAGCCCTCTAGGATCAGGCAGGTGTGGCTTCATGGCCTACCTCCACCCCTGGACATCTACTTACCATCTTAGAATCTCAATATCATAACCTATAAAATGAGTTTGCAAAGCGCCAAACAGCATTGTAAGGCACCTCACCTGAATCCTGGCTCAGCAACATGTTCAATAAATGATGACCATTAGTATTAGAAATTAATGCTTTGGAATCTGACCATATCTTATTCCATTTGTATTTGTACACACAAGTTTACAAGACATTCAAAAAAAGTAACATGGCTTTGAAATATCCATGAAGAAGTCAGAGTCACCTCTAGCAATGAAAACCCTTAAGAGGTGAGCAATATTGTAATAATCATATTTTACAGAAATAATGCAAAGTAAAAGGAATCTTTGGCAGATTATAACTCCAACAGGTTTTGAATATCATGGCTATGGGCTTAGAGACCAGTCACAAATGTCAGTCATAACTGTCACAGGTGAGGAAGTTATCAGCTTCAAAGTGCAGTAGACCACGTGAAGAGGGCTTGCCAAGGGATCCCCACTCACAGAGGGACTACTCAGAATACTGAGACCTTCCCCACACTCTGCACTGAAAATTGGCATGTTGGCTAGAAAACTTGAAAGGGGAAGACCTGCTCTGAACGTAGGCAGCACCATCCGGTAGGCTGGGGCCCAGTTGGAAGAAAGGAGAAGAAAGGTTGTTGAAAGTTCAACAACTAAAGGCAGGAGGCAGGGATGCTCCAGACAGTACATTGGGATAGAGGCTCTAGCGTCACAAAGACCCAGTGTGGTTCAGGTGGCCAGTACAGTTAGTGTGTTGCTCACATTCTTAAATCTCAACAACTGTGCAAAGCCCGAGTGAAGTACAGGCTGTGAGGATACTTGGATGTCAAACAGGACTCAACAGAAAGGAGTCAGTGGTGTTCACAGGAGGCTGCAGCCTGCAGCTATCTCAGTACTGCCTTGATACCCAGTTTTTATATGGTTTGGTATAGGGATAAGGGACTAAGCTGCCAGGATGATAAGAGCTATATGAGTCAGGGTTCTCCGGAGAGACAGAACCAAACCGCCGTGTGTGTATGTGTGTGTGTGTGTGTGTGTGTGTGTGTGTGTGGTGTTTTCATTTATTTGATTGTCTCACATGATAACAGAGGCTGAAAAGTTCCATCTGCATTCTGGAAAGCCAGGGAAGCTAAAGCTACTTAGTACAAGAAACCAGATACCCAGGTTGAGAGAAACCTATGATACAGTCAGAGACTGAAGGCCCAAGGGCCCTCTGTTGGGCCACTGGTGCAAGTCCTGTAGTTCAAAGACCAAAGAACCTGGAGTTTGATGTCCAAGGGCAGGAAAAGTATGCCCACTCAGGAAGGAAGAGAAAAATGTTCTCCTTTCTTCCATCTGGGCCCCAGCCTACCTGATGGTGCTGCCTACATTCAGAGCAGGTCTTCCCCTTTCAAGTTTTCTAGCCAACATGCCAATTTTCTGAAATATATTCACAGACATATCTGTAAATATTTACCAGTTCTTACAAGCCAGTCAAGCTGATGCCCAAAGTCAACCTTTAAAGAGTCAACTGACACACTGTCACAGCACTCATGAACAGAAGAGCACTTTCTTCTTTCTGGCTGAATGCTACCTCAGCACAGGATGTGGGACAGAGTGAGATATAAAACAAAAATTGAACTACCTTGGCTTGTACAAGGCTGCCTGGAGCCCTGTGTCAGACCCCATGAGTATCACCTCTGTGAGCAGAGGTGTATCTGGGTGCCTGGGAAAATCAGAACCAGGGACAGGCAGAGTCCAGTCCCACTGCTGGAAACTCTGCATATCTCACAAAGGACCTTAGGCGAGAGACCAAGCCACAGCCCTGGCAGCACTGAGCACTTGCTATCTGTGCTTGGGTCAGTGGGTACCCCTACATAACCCACAATAAACACCATTTTCCAGGTTTAATGATGAGATGGAGCTAGGGCATTGACAGCACCTTCCCCACTTAGTCCCTGGACCATGTATTCCCTCTTAGCATGCAGGCAGCCAGGACAGAGTGCCTATGGGTCTGTAATGCTCTCTGCCCTGTTGACATCAGCCAGGATGGCCCAGACAGGTCCACCACCACTGAGTACCACTTACAGAAATTGAATAGATCCTTGTTTCTTTTTTTACTGAACACTTTGCACATATAAAGAATATATTTGTATAAAACTTTGAGGTTTTTTTGGTTTGAAACTATATTTTTCTTTTCATCTCTACCATGCTCCACTTAAGCACCTCCATAGAAGGAAAGAAGAAACAAAAAGTTAGTTCAAAATACACCATGCACCAATTTTCCTGCAGGAAGCCTCCTTTTAGGTAGCACACAATCTCTGCTAGCAGGGATCAGAGTTGTCACAGAAGAGGTGACTTAGCAGCTGACATACCTGGCTCAGGTGTGCAGCCCAATTTGTGGAAAACTGTTAATTGATAACATTTGAATTTACAACTTAATTTGAATTTACAACTTAATTTCACTGTTCCAACATTTAAGTCATGTTTTACCAGCTTTTGGGTGAGAATCACTTAGTCAAATAAACCTGTTTATCTGAATTTATTAGCTCTCACCCACTAGATTGGCATTTGGAAAAATTCAACCCACTTTTTTTTTCAGTGTACTTGTTTTTGTGTTACATATACGGAATAACCAAGACCCTGAAGGCTGAGGCTGCAAATGGGAAGACCCACAAAGGTGCACTCTGAGCAGTAAGCAGAAATGCTCAAGAAATTCCATTTGCCCCCGACTGCATGAATGTCAAGATCTGGCTGCTGAAATGTAAAGACTGGGTCAAGGGGTATTACATCAAGTTCGAAACCTACCTGGCAGCTCTGCACACACATACCCACACTTACCAAAACACACTTCCCTGGCTCGAGGCTCCAGAGGGAACTCTCCGTGTTGATCTTGTGGGTGAGTTTCCCTTCCATGAGAACCCGCTCCCCGCTTTCTTCCAGCATGGCCACACGGATGGAGCCACTACTAAGGACCACTGAGACCTGGAACACAGAAGAAAATTATCTCACCTGTGAGGGTGGTCACTGGTGTGCTGTATGATGGAAAGACAATCATTTCTGGTACACATTTGCATACTATAACACTCATCAGCTTAACTAGGCATCTGTGTAAAGAAAGCCATTCCAGACTAATCCATATCCAGAGCTACCGGCACATTGTCAGTTCCTTCAGGCAAACACAGCAAAAAGTCTTTCTCAAACGACAACATCAGGTGCTATGGTGGAAGTTACTAGTTTTCTACCCAAGTCCCATTTACCTTCTCCAGTTGGGGAAACTGATTGTCAGGGTGGAAGGTAAGCAGAGGGGACAGGTGGTGGCTTCCCTTGGAGGATATAGAAACCCAGCCCTGGACCACAGCATCCAGGACAGTTATACAGCCTTATGCTAGGACTGCTTGCTGTCATGCAAAAGACAAGTACAGCCTCTTTCTCTAAGTCGCTGCATAGCCTGTGACCAAAAGGTCAGCCTTCACCTAGGACAATGAGTCCAGTTACTCTGGTTTGTATTTTGCCTTGGTTCTTTACAAAACCATGTTTTGAGAAGCCTTAGGTTATCCTCCTCCTTCTATGCATGTCCTGAGAAGAAACCAGTTACATGCCTGCCTTGTCCTGGGCACACTCCCTGTCCCACCACCTGTCTCCACACTTGATTGGGAACTACTGGGAACAGGTTCTCTTTACTTCACACCATGTAGCCCAGCCAACACTCTCCAAAGCAGGGTGAATGCCCACAAGAGGTCCTAGGATCAGCAATTGAAGGAGGAAAGAAAACAGAACTCTTCTTTGAATGTTACACTCACTCTTTTTAAATTCTAAAATCTACGTGTTTTATCATGTAAAAATCCTTTTGTAAGAGTAAAGGCTGAGTATCTCTTGTCTGAAATGCTTGGGACCATAAGCATTTCCAATTTTGGAGTTTTTCAGATTTGGGGATATTTCTATAGACACTTCAAGGATTTAGTATCCCTAATCTGAAAATCAGAAATATGAAATTTTTCTATTACAGATGTTCAACCTATATTTGTACAATGTACAGGTTAAAGAGAAATTGGCAGAAAGTACTTTTGAAGCATTTTTCTAGTAAGTTTGTGGAATTACAACAGTTTAGAGACTATCTGGCAGGTGCTCATTAAATGCTTAGAAAATGACTGAAAAATAAAATCCTCAAAATTACAGAATTTTCCAAGTGGAGTTTAGTATTTACAAATGAAATGATACTATAGCTTAAGCATAGTTCAAATACCCATGAATACAAAAGAAAAGGGAGTGACCATGTGCAGCGACTGCCCCATCAGATGCTTCTCAATGAAAGACTATGTGTACATTCAGGGGAGGAGGTGGCAGGAGCGCTGCCCCAGAGGACACAGGACCCCTGGGAAAACTCAGCCACAACATTCCACTTGTGTCAGGCTGCACTGCCAGTTTCAAGTACAGATTCAGAGAGGCATCCTCCCAGGAGGTCCCCTTGCACTAACCTCTCATACAAGTATTCACTGTAGAAAAGACTGTAACCTGTCAGCTCACACCAGAAAATCTTTCTCAACATAAGTACAACATCAGGTGCTACGGTGGAAATTACTGGTTTTCTACCCAAATCCCTCTACTATCTTCAATTAGGGAGACTCTCTCTCAGGCTAAGAAGGTGAGCAGAAGAGACAGGAAGTATGGGCTGGGGATGTGACTCAAGCGGTAACACGCTCGCCTGGCATGTGCGCGGCAGTGGGTTCGATCCTCAGCACCACATACAAATAAAGATGTTGTGTCCACTGAAAAGTAAAAAATAAATATTAAAAAATTCTCTCTCTCTCTCTCTCTCTTTAAAAAGAGAGAGAGAGAGAGAGAGAGAGAGACAGACAGACAGACAGACACAGGAAGTAGGTGTTTCCCCTGACCTCCCCAGAGGCTAAAGGAGCTCAGCCTAGACCATAGCACATGGGAGAGCTGCAGTCCTGTAGAGCAGAATCACAGAGCACTGCCCACCTTCTAACAGCAAAAGAACATAAGAAAACATGATGAAGCTCAGCTCATTTCTGGATGAATCTTCATAAATCCTGGGCCAAATCCAGTCTGTGAATTTCTGTGGGTGATGACCAGACCGCAGGTCAAGACTCCCTTAGTACTGGAGTCCCAAGCTCACTTTAACAAATAAATTCTCCTAGCAGCTTTACATGACATGATAATTTCCAACTCTGGGCAAGATTCTCACATGGCCTATCCAGAGGAATGAACTAAATCCTCAAGGGGAAAAAAAATCAGACAAGATATACTCGTTGAAAATAACACACCTTGAAAAGAAGGATATCACTCTGACCTGCAGCCTACAGAAATGACATTAACAAAGAACAAAATCTCAGTTAGTAAAAGGAGAAAAAGTGGGAGCTCCTTAGGAGCTCCCATTTTTTTGAGATGTTAACAAACCTATGGAAAATAGAAAAAGGAATGGCAACACGCAATAGATCTACAGAGTCGGGGACAGCTAGGGTCTCCAGCTGGGAGTCAGCAGGCATGGAAGCAAAGGTGAGGTCAGGGACACAGGGGAATAGCTGGGAGCTAGCCCCAGGGAACAGGTGCACGCATGGAAGCCCTACCAGGAGAGGCAGGATTCCACTGTTTGTCCCAGAGCAAAGGATAGCCTTCTTTCAGAAATCCACCAGGTATCTGAGGAGCATGATATGGATATGAATGCCCCAAGTGAAGTCCTATTCACTCAAGCACTGGGACACCCAAGGTCTCAAACCCTGTAAAGTAAAGCTAAGCGGTCTACCACTCAGCTGTCATATGGTAGGAAGAACAGATCACTGACACACAACAGAGAACCTGTCAACACTGCCCCACATTCAAGAGAACAGGGAAAAAATTTAAAAGAAAAGAAACAAAAGATTCAGAATCAATGCTAAAGATTCTGAGGGACAGAGTCAACCATAGAAGAAAAAGAAACATGTTCAGCATCTGTAGATACAATTAATAAAAATAGGGTGAATTTAAGTTGTGGGTAAATTACCTTTGCAAAATGGTATGACATGTAATAGTACTTTCAAACTTCTGAATTCAGCCTAAGCTGAATATTGAGCTATACAGTAAATAATGAATAAAATTAAAAAAAAAAAAAAGAAAAAGAAATAAAAGAACTATTAGGGGGCATTACAGCTTTTGAAACCAGAAAAACTTAAAAACAAAGATTACAGAGCTAATTAGAAAAACATTTATTCAAATATTTCAATTTTATATCCTTACAAGATCTGAGAAGATACTGCATCAGTGGAGCCAGGATAAAATATGAAAAAAGAGCTAGTGGGGCTGGGTTGTAGCTCAGTGGTAGAGCGCTTGCCTAGCATGTGTGAGGCATTAGGTGCAATTCTCAGCACCACATAAAAATAAATAAATAAAATAAAGGTATTGGGCCCATCTACAACTAAAAAATAAATAATAAATAAAAAAGAGATAGTAAACCAAAAAGAAAGAACACAAGAATTAAAAACATAGTGGCTAAAATAAAAATTTCAATAGAAAGGCCATAAGATAAAAGTCAAAGAAATAAAAATAGAGATATAGAGATCAATTTAAGCAATTAATTGGACATTTCAAAAATTATGACAATAATAAACAAATTTCCCTGGGCTGAAGAAAAATATGCCTTCAGATTGAAACAATCTACTGAGAGCTAAGCAGAATGAATGAAGAATAATTTAAATAAGATCATGTAATTTCATAACATTGAATGCTTTAAAAAAGGTCCTCAGAGTTCCAAAGTGGAAGAGACAAAGTTTACTCACAAAGAATCTGAAAGGATGGGACTTTTTGAATTAGTAACACTGGACATAAGAAGTGTCTTTTTTTTTTTTTTTTTAAGTTGTAGATACACACAATATCTTTATTTATTTCTATGTGGTGCTGAGGATCGAACCCAGTGCCTCACATGTGTTAAGCATGCACTCTACCACTGCGCTACACAGCTCCAGCCCCCAAAAGAAGCATCTTTAATCTTCCAATGCAAGAGCTATTTTAAGACAGAATTCTAAATGTGTTGAAATTATGAAATAAACAAAAGGTTAAAATATTAACACTTTAAGACATATAAGAACTCTGAGGTGATTTGACTTGAATCCCATGAGCATTTTTTTTTAACTCTGTCACATATCACTTTGAGAAAAACAAAATGAGAATGAAAACGTAAAACAAAAGTCAACTGGACCCCCCCCAACCCCCCCCCATAAAAACAAAAACAGTGCACTTAATCTAGAAGTATAGGATGGTAGCTAAATAGCAGAACTAGAGAGAAATCAGTCAGACTGAAGTCAGAGGTAACAGTTTCAGGAAGAAGGTGATTTCTAGACAACACAGTATAATTGAGTCTGAGTAACTCTGAGGTTATGAGGAAAGTATACTACTTTTGACAAGATAAAAAGTGAGGCAAAAAGAAACTAGGAAAATCAAAACAATGGAAAATTCTAACCCAAAGGCACGTCAGTAAATCCAAAGGTATGTCAATAAAAATGACAAAGTAAATAACTCCTACAAATCTCTATCTTACATAAAAGCAACAAGAAAAATGGCAAAAATTATCTGAATCAATTTCTTATGAACTCTGGAAACTAACCAAAGGTTTGTGGGAACTCAAGAAATATCTAATCACAAAAAATGACCATACCCTAGTAAGAACAGTAAGCTCTGTGACATTTTAATTTGTGCCAGATGCATCCCTACTCCCTCGCTCCTTGGCAGTTTGCATTCCTAGTGCATCCTAGCACCATCATAGGGAGTAAAACAAAGCTAGAGCTCTTTCAAAACTTTATTCCAGCAAAGGCCATTTTTTGACTTGTCTGTTGACTTACTGGAAGACCTTGCTTGCAAGACTGTTTTCAACTAGACTGTTTTACCCTCAGGAAGTGTTTGTTGAGAACAATTATGGGCAAGTGTTTAACTTTGAAATTATTAAAGGTAGTGGATAACAACTGAGGCAAACAAAAGAAAAGTCTGGGGAA